TGTCCTTTTTCATAACGACTAGTTGGCTTTTTCCCGTGGAAAAAAGGCGCGCACCGGTTCGTTTCTTCTAATTGTATAAGAGAGTCAACTCCACTGTGCGCAAACGATGAAAAGAAAGAGAACAGTCTTCTCAACGCCGAAAAAAAGGCGTTATACGAAGGTAATCTGAAGGATGTGAGTGAAGATGCATGAGTTTGAAAAAATAGAAGCAGAAAGAAGGGTGTGGGTGAGGGTGGGTGAGATGAATTACCACAAAACTAGAAGTTTTTCACTATAGTTCGATATAGATGGGTGTGGGTGAGAGGGTGTGGGTGTGGGTGGGGCGGGTGCAAGGGGAAAAAAGCGAGACTTCATCTACTTCAGATATTATTTGAAGTATAGTGAAGTACCAGTGAAGTACCAATGGAGTACAACTGAAGTAGGAGTGAAGTACCAATGAAGTACCGGTGAAGTAGTTGAAGTCTGAAGTCTCGCCTTTTCCCCCTTGGGTGGGTGAGAGGGTGTGGGTGTGGGTGTGGGTGTGGGGTGGGGTGGGCGAGTTTGAAATGACGATATAAAGAAATCCAATTAAAATAATCTTTTCATTTGTCCACGAAGAACATACAAGACATTTCAGTAGATGTATTCACAGAGATATGTTCAGGGGTGAGGGTGAGGGTGTGGGTGTTGGTGTGGGTTTGGGTGAGTCAAGGATAACTACGACGCGTTTCGATCCTTGCTTAAGGGATCATCATCAGGTAGTATTTGTTATGATATGTTATATCATGCCATCTATATAGCGCCGTAGTTTCTTTCGTGTTGCCTTTGTTGTCTCTTCCAGGTATACGTTTGAAAATAAAAGAATAGGGTTTATGTCCTAACTGGCCTTACGAACACACGCGCCTATTTTCTTTACATCTTTGGACATAACAGTGGTGACAGCGGCCTATTGAAGAAGACAATTCTCTTTCTTCTTCTAACCCTCGGCGAGCACACAACGAAGAAGGAATCCTTTCTTTACGGGAGGCTGATTCTGTTTACGATATTCACCAAACAGAGTTAAATTACAATAAGGATTAATAACGAAACATCGCCCAACCCAATCACCGATTCGAAAACAATGGAAGCGCCAGAGCAACCAGTTATTCCTCGACAAGCGCCACGACCACTTACGACTGATGAATCAATACGCAGTCATGTACGAATGTTAATGGAAGGTGATCGACTTGGAACGGACGAGTTATTTGGAGCACTGAACGAATTCTTTGATGAGCAAAATTATTCATCATCACAGCGAATTACTTGCGCACAGATGTTTTTAAACGACGAAGGAAAAGCCTGGTACGAACAAAAGAAAGTCGAAATCAACGATGACTGGTCACTCTTTTGTGAGCAATACAAGGGACATTTACAAAGCTGCCGGCAAAGTAGTACACGTCCACGGAGTAAAAAATTACCAGCCAGTAATGAATCACCATACACATTGGAAGATATCATCGATGAACATTTCAACAAATATTCAGGTATTGGTGATGCAAAAAGTTGGTTGTTGGAAACTATGAATCAATTCAAAGTACAGCAATTACGACGTGATGACCAATTCACCGCGATATCTTTACTATTGGAAGAAGAGGCCTATTTATGGTATGTGACAAACATCGAAACGATTCTGAATTTTGAAATATTCACCAAATTATTTCTTGAACAATATGCATCGACAACGACGTCAACGACAAATTCTATCAAGGGTACTGGTGCATCAGCGTCTATTGTACCTGCTCATTCACCTATATCGCATCTACAACGAACCATGGCTGATGAGATAATCAAACGGCCGACGTATTTTCGTGGCTCACAAGATGATGTACATGATTGGTTAGAAAAATTGGAACAACGATTCACGATGGCACACTGGAACGATGAAAACAAGTTACAGTACATATCGATACATCTACAAGAAGATGCCTATCGATGGTGGATGCAGACATCTGTCACAATCAAGCCTTGGTCCTCGTTCACAGATGCAGTAATACGTACTTTTGGTTCAACACGAGCACAGGAATTAGCGTTTGAACAATTGAGGTGGTACAAACAAACGATCAACCAGTCTATCACTCAATATTACGACAAGGTTATCGAATTATGCAAGAAAGTTGATCCTACGATGCCTGATTCTTTGAAGTTAAAATATTTGTTGGCTGGAGTTAAGGAGTCATTGAAAACACATGTTGCGT